CTCTTTGCAAATATGCTCAAAGTCTCCAAGGAAGCTTGCAGTTTCAAAAAGGACCATGACTTGCTTGGTAACAAGCAAGTAACAATTGCTCTGCCTTCTTGTATAGTTAATTTGCTTCTACATGCCATACAAGCTGGTCATGAAAACACACGTATCCTTAAAAGGCAACATTCTTGATTATCTAAGTTCAGGAAGCTGCTTGGCTAGGTCATGACTGATTTATGGTGAGCCAGAAGCTCTGGGCAGGCCTTCTTGTCCTAAACCTCAGAACCTTCCTGATAAGGTGGGAAACATGGCCTGGTTCTGTAGCCACTGTTTCCTCCTCGCGACATACTTGAACCTTGAGGCAGAAACTCCACTGCGAATTCATGAAGGCAGACCCAAGTCCTTTGGGACCATCGTTGGGCACTCCCACTACATGCAGTAAGGGCTCCATTCACTGTGTAATGCACCCTCCTGAAATCTAAGGCATAGTGCTGGCAGCCACCTGAGAATGGAGGCTGTTTCAGTGGCCCCTTGCACTATCAACTCCCCAGTATCTGCTGTCTCCTGATGTCCATCTTGTGACAGGGTATGAGGACAGAGCTATTTTAAATTTGGATCTTTTTAGCACAGTGCTTTAAATCTGTAGCTAAGACTAATGTTCCCTTTAATTTTGATGAAGGAAATGACTTACATAGTTGAATTTCCCCAAAGACAAATTTATCAAGAAGAGTTATTTTTTTTTTCATCAACAACTGTACAGATAACACATGTCTGAAGATGTGCTGGCTTGCTCCAGCTTTCCAGTTTATGAATAAATAACGTGTTTTGTGGAGGATGGTATAAAGAAGAATCGAGAGTGGGCATGATAGAGAAGGATTTTTCAAATTCCTTTCTGAAACTGAAGATTCGGAACATAGCCTGTCACTGCCTTCTTAGCTTTCCTGCTTTCTCTTTCCCTCACTAACACAAACAGAAAAACCATGCTCCGGTAATGCTACCTGGTTTTCCAGTGAGTCGATTGACAATGTCAGTGCATGTCATTAACTATCTTGCGCATCTGGAAATCAGTCTTGCCCAATCAAAATGAAATGTGGTAAAGTGAAACTTAAGAAATCAAGGAGGCCAGAACCATGCATGGTGGTAACATGCAAGTCACCTATAAATGTGCTTTGTCATAGACAAAGGGCACATCTTAGCAAAATGACAGTGTGAGGTATAATGCGTAGTCACCTATTATCCAAGCATTTGCAATTGCTGGATTTTATTTCTTTAGAAGCTGTTTCTGGCAGATTTGAGACCAGAGATCACATAGAAAAAAAGTCCAAGATCATGCTCATGAGGTCTCTTTATTGTCTACCTGCCCATTGATGTCAATCCATCCATCTTCACAGGTTACGCCAAGGAGGTGTGTGAGTGGCATAGCAACTGGAGTATGCAGGGACGGTGCACACTCTGATGAACTCTGTCTTCCTGGCGAATCTTCAGTGTCTGCTCAGTCCAACATGGCTTCTACCAGGCCATGTGGGATCCAGATTTACTCTCTCCTTTGTCTCTTTTCATTCACAGACGGTTCAGAGAATTCTCATTAAAATTACTTAGAGTGAAGCAGAAAGACCCTGCTATAAAATAAATCTAGTTAAATACACTTTGCTGTATTGCCTCATTTGTGTGATGCATGGACCTAATTTTCTTCTCTTTGTATCTTAACTATGTACATTAGGTGATTCCTGCCAATTAATGCAGGATGTCACATCCCCAATTGCTTTCTCTATATTCTTACACATTAACAATAAATACGTGCCATCTGTCTCATATCTTGAAAGCAATTCAAAATGGTTACTTTTGTTTTCTCAGCGTTACAACACATTTTACAGCGTTAGTGTCTCTGAGCAGTGAGCGAGCCCTCTTTTCAGTGTAACACCACTTTAGGGTGAATCCTCTAGATTGAACAGAAGACTTTCCCGAGGGTTGCGGCAAGACAAATAGCATCATAGGATGGTGATCTCAGTCAAGAGCTTTGGCACCCAAGAGTCTTGCACCAGACACGGATCCTTCTGTTTCCCAGCCGAATGACTTTGGGAAAAAGGCAGTTTCCAACAGCCTCAGTCTTCCTCATCTGTGAAATGGTCACAGCATTTACTGTACATGGCATTATGTGAGAGATATGTATCTAAAACATACTGCCTCCCAATTCATAAAGACATAACAAGATGTATGTGATAGCTATCAATATATTCATGGTCGTCAAATTTTGGGTACGGACTAACATCAGTTTGAAAGGTAAATTATTAAAAAAATTACTCAAGGGGGCATAATGCTAAAACCCACCAAAAAGTGGCTGTGATAGAAGCTGCACATGGTCTATGCAGCAATTACAATGTAAGAACACAATGCTTCTTTTGAATGATCCCCATTGTTCCTGGAACATTTAGGGGACCCCTTAGACATGGAAAGACGTTGGTAAGCTGGGAACTTGAGGAAAACCTAGATTCACCGATGGCTACAGCAGTCATCTTGTGATTAAACTCCGTTATTTTGTTGCCTTTAATTTTAAAAAAACAAAAACATGTGCTATATAGCACTAACTGCCTGAAAAACTTAATTGTAAAAGGGCAAAGGTCAGTTGGAAATGATTGTTTTCCATTTTTAGAGCAATCTTCTTCAACAATACTTTCTCCTGTTGCCCAGGAGAAAGCTTTCTAGATCTCCAGCAAGCACTCTGACGATGCTGAACATGTAATTTGAAGTCCACCCTATACTCAGAGACCGCAGAATTGTAGTGCTACAGAAAATGCTAGACCTGTGTGACCTAGCCCAAACAATTTTAGCAAGAAGTCAAGGAGGCCCGTGTGCAGCTCAGCATGCTCATTAGAGCTAGAGCATTTCCCTTCTTTCAGCTAGATTTCAAAAAAAATTTTTTTTGTAAAGCAGACTGAAATATTTGAGACTTCTATAAATATTCTAGCTTTACAGCTGATTCCCTGTGCTACAGTTCTGCTAACAGCCTCATCTGAACATAACTTGGGTGTTCGGCATAGCCCTTGCATGACAAAGTGGTCAAGTCTTAGTGGCTGAGAATGCATGCTCAAGACTTTATTTAGACTGTATGGTCAGGGCAATTCACCCATTAGTCACAGCACACCCATGAATCCTGACAAAAATGTCACCTGCTCCCAGCACCCCACCCCGCCACAGCTCCTTCCACATGGGTGGGATTTTTTACCATAGTTACGGAAAGAAAGCTCTAAAATTCCTAATGTGGACACGCCTGTAGACTTTCTCTTTCCAATTACAGAGCTTCACATGCCCATTTCTACTACAATAGAAAGCAGTGAGCATTTAAGCCACCTAAAATGAAGAGCACTCTTATTGGGGAGATATGAACAATGCTAAGGCATTCATTCCCAGAGAAACACACATTGATCTTTCCCTATCACTACTGGGCAGTCTAATACAGACTGAACATAGACTCCTAGATGGATCAATTCAAACCAATCCATACAGCAAAGGAAAATTCAGAATGACATCAAAAGCACCTCACTGGAACAGCCCTACAGGACACAAAGCTGTGTATTTTTATTTTCACACTCCAGACTTAAGGCATCGCGGTGGCCTTTGCCGATGATATAAAGATCCTCTGGCAGTAGGATCTTCTATTTTCTGTCCCATTTGACTCAGCATGGCAAAGGCTGGGTGTTCAAGAATGAAGGGAGGAAGGTCAGAGGCAGAGGCCACCCCCTTCCCAATGCTCCTCCATCCTCTCTCCTCCAAGACACACCTCAGCAGGTGTGTGTGTGTGTGTGTGTGTGTGTGTGTGTGTGTGTGTGGCCAAGCCATCTCTGGGAAGGCAAGCCCAGCTCTGAATGCTTAGCTGGAGAGGGGCTGCCAGGGGATGTGGGAAGTGAGAGGGAGTCAGCGCTGGAGTTTCTCATTGTACACATGCCTTTGGAATACATTCCCGGACTTGAATGACAGGAAGATAAAACACAGCAAGTGTTTTCCTTCTGTGCCTCAAAGCTGGGTAGTGGTTTTGTCAATCTTTGGAGAACATCTGAAGCATTTCTGAGAGTGGAAGGTCAGGTTCCTCACGCCTGCTCCCAGGACAGGCCGTGGTGAGTGCAGAGGAAAGGACTGGAACAGGCAAATGGCCCTTCGCGTTGCACAATGGAAATCTCCAGGAGCAGGCCAGGGTGATTAATACCGCAGGAATCTGTTTCAACATCCACCCCTCCCCTCCTGCACCCCATCCCCCCACCCCTCCCCAGGGAAACAACCAGACTCGAGATCCTGATAAGAATTATTTTATGTTATTCCAATAAAAAATACATTCATACAGAAATATAACAATCTTGCAAAAAACAATTTCAAATAAAATCTTGTAAAACAAAATTTTACAAAAATCTTACAAAGATTCTTTAGATAACAGGGTGCTTCCAAAAAAAAAAAAAGGAAAAGGAAATTTCACTAATAGAAATTTTTTTTTTTATTTCAAGCAAAAAAGTTTCTGCTTGATTGAGGCTCAGTTATCACCTGACCAGAATGTACTTTGTGATGTACTTACTTATTATGAAAATTACAGGCCTTGACATATACGGCACCCAGCCCCACCCAGTCAAACAGCTCTGACGGTGTTTCGTAAGTGAGACAAGCCAGTGCAAGGGTTGGTTTTTTTTTTTTTTTCATCTTTTGTTTACCATCTTGCTTAATGGAATTGTTATGGCTAAGCACACAGCAGGGCCAAAAAAGGAGTTTTCCCAAACCCTGGCAAATCAAGGGCTTGGATTTTGAATCACCAAAAGAAAAGTGCATTTCCCTTCCTAAACAAAATGAAAGGAATTCTTTTAGGTAAAAGTATTCATGAGCCAGATTAAAAAACCAGTTACGTGAGCTTTCATCATTGCTCATTCCCAGGAAGATCAAACAAAATACCAGCCCAGCCAGACTCGTGTGTGTGTGTGTGTGTGTGTGTGTGTGTGTGTGTGTGTGTGTGGGGTGTGTGTGTGTGAAGAAACATGCAAGCCAGCATCTTGACGAAATATCAGCTGTGGTATGCCAATTCGGAGGAATTACTTCTGGAAAAAACTGGAAAAATCCACATTCAGGGAAAAAAAATAGCTTCATCTGCATAAAAAATGTTCTAAAAAAGAATTCCCGTGATTAGCATACTCTTAGGTTAGATCTTCTAATAAGGCTGAAATTCAAAAATCAAAACCTTAGAGTGTCTGAGTCCAACCAGTGTGCCGGTATTGTGTTTCTGCCACTTTGGAACGGCCCAAGGTATCCTATTAAGACGTGCCAACCATGATGAGGAGGCAGGCAGTCCGGAATAGATTCAATGCCAAGAAAGTCTTCAGCAAATCATTAAATTAAAGATAAAGCCTCTATAAAAGCTATAGTTTTCATTTTTACCTCCTTTATGGCCATTTTGAAATATCTCTTCACAGGCTGTAGAATTTTCTAGCTAAACATTCTAGTCTCTCCTTAAAAAAAATATTTATATATTATCTATATATATAATATATATATACACATACACATCCTATACACACAAATATACATACACAAGAATTCCGCCCACTTTAAAAAAAAAGTAGTATACTTTCTGTATTACCAACAGATAGCTAGATAAGTGAAACTTGTGCCTTTTAAGCAAATACACTGACTTTTTTTTTTATACTTCTGTATCTTTTAATATGTGTGAAAATGTTACATATTAAATACAGCCGGAGTGCAAGGTCTATATGAAAGTCTCATGGTGGCAGAATTGGTCAGACTTTTCCATCATTATGTTTTCCATCTCAATACTGACAGTCAAGTGGTGTAAATATTGAACAAATACTGACATATTAAGGGAATTTTCGTCTGTTTGGAAAGGAGGACCTTAAAGAGATTTCTTTTCTGTATTATACATTGATACAGTACAATGCCAGGTGAAAAGAGAGCCTTAATAAAGCATGCATCACCCTTACCCCTGTACGAGACCCCCACAGAAGGGGTCACTTGCATAAGGCACCATTATGAAGGTCAACAGTGCATTAACAGCTAGAAAACCAGAAATGAGTCCTCAAGGCATAAATAAGAGAATCATAGCTGCATGAGAAAACAGTTTCTAAGCTTTAGTGGTTTTATCCACCTAACTGAGAACATTTTTTTAGGTTCTTAGCCTAATGTAATATTAGACCAGCAATTTCCAGCCCGGTGTTTGGACACCTCACGTGTCCAAATGTCTTCTAAGGGCATCACAAAATTCTCCAGAGAGTTCATTCCAAATCAGAACCTTTTAAAAAAATAACCCTATGCTGCACAATGCCTTTTCTAGAAGGGAGTGTTACAAATTTAAAGGGGGAAACGTTGTGTCTTGCCAGGCCCAGATGGCTAGGGACTGCTGTTATAGACAAACTGTATCTTAGCTGCTCATTAACTGGAATCAAGATTGCAGTCCTGATTTTAAAAAGGAAAAGCGTAGAGTTCCCCAGACCATGCATGACTCTTTGTATTAGAAGGAAAAGTTATCATTGTGTTATATTTGTAAATACACAGCTTATACAATGGGTTACAAATGAGCTCTGTTGTAGCAAGTAAAACAAGCTACTTGACACATTGCACGTTTTAATAGCTGCACCAGACATCAAAAGTTCCTCGCATACAAAACAAGTGGGGGACGAGGAGCCCCCTCTTCATACCACTCACCACTCTGGGGTCCTGAGTTCCCACTCCCACCCTCCAAGTCTTGCCTTCTTTTTTTATTTTTTATTTTTTGTGTATTTTTTTTTGTTGTTTGTTTGTTTTTGATTTTTTTTTTCTTTTCTAAGGTGCGGACACCCTCCCAGGAAATGATTGGTGGTCATCTCATCTCATGGTATATTCCTTACATACAAAACATTCAAACTACTTTTTTTCTGTCGCTTGCAGTTTGACTACCACAAGGAAAAAAGTCTGCCTCATCATACAATCAGTAATAGATCCTCAACATACAATCAACCCAACCATTAACATTCTCAGTGCGCATGCTCACAGCAAAGGCTTAGGAGCCACTCGGAAGGTTAGGTACCAGTGGCGAGTCCAGGGTCACCCAAACACCATGCACCGCAGGTGCTATGCCGCTTCTTCCATAACTTTGTTAGCCCTCAAAAGACCTTCCAAAGGAGAGGCCCCGGAGGCAACTGGGTAGGGTGCAAAATGGCATGCTTCGGCTGGAACACGCATCCCTCCTTCCGTGGCTGTCTCAGCCTGGAAGCCTTGTAGCCCACAGGATTCACCCCTCTACGCCCTCAGAGGTGCCTCTTCATGTGCAGGGCCAGGTGGTCAGACCTGGAGAAACACCTGCAAGGGCAGAGTAGAAGCAAAGTTAGGTTCTCATCCTTCACTTCCTTAGCAAGGTCCTGCCCCCACCCTTTCCTTCATCACAGCCTGACTCCCTCACGTCCATACACTCTCCTGCCTCACCTCTCCTTGAGGAAAGGCCACTGCCCATGTTTGCACGGAGAGCCAGTCCAGCTTATAGGGATGTGTTGCAATTTAACAGAATGTTAACCAGCAGCTGGTGAAATCTTGGGAGAACATAAATCGACCTCATTTCTGATTTCTTCTAATGACAAAAAAATCAGTGATGGCCAATTTTCAAAGAGTATAAGGGAACTCACTTTAGTCTTAGGCATAACTTGTTGCAGTTTTTCTAGCTCAGATAATAGATTAAAGACTTTCTAAGTCGTTCTATACATGTATGTGTGTACATTCACATATACTGCATGTATACACACACACACACATACATACACATAGTAGGGAACTTCCATCAAACATCACTCTGCACCTACTCTATTAGTTACTGCGCTCCCACGGCAGGACACATCTTTTCCTCCTGCACATACCTGTCACAGTGAGAGCATTTAAAAGGCTTGGCACCGGTGTGCTTTCGGAAGTGTCTGGTTAACTCATCGCTTCTTGCAAAACGCCACTCACACCCTTCCCATGAGCATCTGTAAGGCTTTTCTCCTGGGAAGAGAGCATATAACAAGTGAGCCAGGACTTCAGGGACACACTGAGAGAAGAGGAAGATAAAACACATACAGGGACAGGATGCAAGTTCAGGGTCTCAGGGGGCATAAGAATCCAAAACCCAGCTTCCCAGGCTCACAAGGAAGAGCCCTTTCCGGACCTAGCCTCTGGCCTCTGCCTGTTGTCCCTCAGACCCATGTTTGGCCAAGTGCATGCTATCACAATTAGAGTTAACGTGTAACAATGACAATTACTCAGACTGGTGAAATACTTGCTGGATGAGGTGTCAGCCTGCTGGACCCACAGCCCTGTGGAGGGCAGTTTTATTGCTTTCTCCATGGAAACTGTTTCTCTCCAGCATTATTTTGTTCCTTACTCACTTCCCTGTGGAATGAGTCTTTGCAGTTTCCCCTGGGACCTTCTACATTTCTACAAAACTGAAGTCATGGGTTTCTGGGAAACTCCATTTCAAGGCTTTCAAATCACTTTCTAAATGGCAATCAAATGACCACATTGACTCTATTCCTTGGTCAATTTATAAATGTGATTTCAATTAAAGTGCTAGCTGAGAGGAAAGAAGTTGCCCAGACCGATTTCGTGTCCATGTTGAGGACAGAGGTAGAGTTGTTTCAAGACGCACGAATCCCCAGCTGAGCTGTCAGCAAGCCTTCGGACTCCTGACTTGGGGGTCTGTCATTGCTCTCTTGCTGATAATTTAAGAATTTGCACCACATGATGTCTAAGATCCCTCCGAGTCTAAATTTTCATTCACTGTAATGGAGATGCTCAGGGTATTTTTAAACGAAACATTTACCTACTATGTGACATTTCATTAAGCCATCATAATGGTCATGTAGCAGAAAACCAAAGAAATTCTGAATAAACACCTACTAATTCATACTGCTGCTTACAAGGCATATGGGGTTTCACTTGCACTTCACACCTTTACCGTCAATGCAAGCATTCTCCAAGCTGCCCAGCGACCCTTGGTCTTGACCTTTCTGTTTCATTTCAAAAATGGAGGGATGATTCCATGTAACACCTGTCTGTGCCTTGGTCCAAGGGACATTAAGGGTCCTTGATAAACTGAATTGTGACAGTGAAGGGAAGGCTGGGTGTCAGTCTGGCCTCCTGCTTGTTTAATCTACTGACTGTTAACCATGCACCCAAATCAAGCACCCAGTGTTCATGACTCTACACTGCACACCAGAGAGACCCAATTCCGCAAAAGTGAGGGTTTCTCTGCTCTAAACGCACACTGGGCAGCCCCAGCTCCTGCCCAGGGCTGATGGGATTCAGTGGCCCACCCATGGCCAACCTTGTGGGCCCAGGAGGGAACTGACCTGTGTGAGTACGCTGATGTGCTTTCAAGTGGGAACTTTTGGTGTAAACTTTTCTGCAGCCATTGAAGTGGCACCGATGTACCCTCCTCCTGCCATCTGGGGAGGCGTCGCCTTTGTCTCCTGGCTTCCCCGAAGTCCCACTGCGCACCTTTCCAGGGGAGGGTAGTTCTCCAGGTCCACACCCCCACAATTGAGAAGGTTCCCTGCTCAGTTCTGGAGAAGACGGAGGCGTGGAAGTGACAGAGGAGCTCAGGTTTCCTGAATTGACAAGGACGTCGCTGATGGGGTCAGAGGTAAACTTTGAAGTGGGTGAAAGTTCCTCCGAGCTGTCAGATGATTCGCTGCTGACATCTGAGTTTAGGCTGTTGGTCTCTAAGTTATAACTAAAGTCCGGACTCATGAGAGAATCCTCCGGAGGACTAGAATGAATCTTGAGTTCGGATTCCTCCTTTTTCTCTCGAGCCAGAATAATTTTGGTCCACAGATCTTCCTGGCTGTCAAATTTGATTTCTGAGCTTGAGACATAGCAGGGCTCGCTCTGGAGGTAACGTTCCAATTCCAGGCAGGTCTGTGCAAAGGGAATCAAGAGAAACCACGTGACTGCTACGACTACTGAAAATGGAACCAACAGCACATCTCCAAAAACATGCAGGAACAAAGGGCAGGTAGAACTGCTGCAGTATCACTTAAGGGTGCAAAGTCTCCTGCAATTGGAATCCATGTTCATAGCAAAGTTAGACGAAATTTGTTTCTAGGAATGGATAAGAATTCAGAAGGAAAAGCAGAGAGGAAAACCTCTCTTTGCTTCCCCCGGGGTTGGAGGAAGGGCCACAATGAGTGACAATCGCTAAGCCTGTTTCTTTGCTATAGTTACAAGTGTTGACGTTTCTAATGAGTTTCCTAATGAGTTTCCCCGTAAACCACACAAAGAAAATCAGCCTTATGCTCATCACCACCACCACCACCACCCCACTTCAGCCCAAACAGGTTTAACCAGATTATCTGCCATTCTCAAGAACCTTGGGTATTAAGGAAAGCCCCAGCCATCCACCCTTCACAAACCACAAGTATCCACACAACAGGACAGAAAAGATTGCACAGCACGTGATGGGTTCGGATGGACCCTGCTGGGGACCCAGCTGACAGCACCGGGTCATGCGCACAGCACAGACAGCAGCTAACTGTCCGTAGCCAAGGCCATCAATGGAGCTGCAGACAAACCACCCGCTTCCTGTTTAGCCCAGACGGAGTCCATTTTTCAAAGAATACCATTCCCGAAGTGCAGGGCCATTGCATGCCACAAAACTTTAATTACTTCTACAGTGGTCAGAGAAAAACAAGAAGCTTCCACAACAGAAGTGGGGGAATGATTCCAGAATGGCCATCTGCTATTGTCAAGGATGCAAGGGGGAAATTACTCCAGGGCCCTGCTGGGAGTCCCACAATGAACAAGAACTTGATCTCCTGGCCAAGAGTACAACTGTATGAGTCATCACTCCTATTTCTTTCACGCAATGCCAAAGGAGACTTCCTTTTGAAATTCTGACCAGCAGCCAAATAAGGACTGGGTTCAAATATACATGCAGTGTGTCATGGACAGGGTGCCCCTCCCCAGCCCCACAAACCAACCTTTCAAGAAGCTACAACTGCCGAGATCAGCATCCCCTCTCCCCACCATTTCAAACTTTCTAGCCACTGGAAAAGAAAAATGGTAGGAAACATTTTAGGATTAAACCATGTCTGCCCTGATACTTCCCTAGGATGCATTGCCCGCATGCCCATATAAGGCTGTCTGTACTCCTGGCAATTCCACAGACTGAAATTGCTACAACAAACTGCTCTTTTCCAAAGAACATTTGCAGGGCACGAACCACCCTGAGCACAGGGCTACCCAAGGGGCTCCTGCTTACTTAGAGATGTGTCTTCTAACATCCTATGGGCACATCTTTCCCCCTCCCCACAGACTCACCCTAAGGGGGGAGGGGGGAGATCATTGTTTTCTCTCCTCCACCCCCTCCCTAAAATCAGACATCTGAGTTAGAGTGCACACCAGAGTGTTGCGAAGAGAGGTGGCAATGTATTTTATCGATGTTCCAAAGACCAGGGAAAGCACATTTATTGAGATCTTGTTAAACTTTCATAATCTGGCTAATTTAAAATCTCCATTATGCCGATGAGCACTGGGGACCAGAAGGAAGCTCTCAGAGTTTAAAAGCCTGAGAAGGCCACCAGGAGCCAGGTCTGGCTAGCTGCCCAAATCCCAAACTCCCCAAGGAAACTACTTAGATCAATTTCAATCGGGTCCTAGGAAAAAGGGGGGGAGGGGGAGAGGAAGGCAGGAAAGGATTGTGAACAATTAAGCAGGCATCTGAAGGCTGCCACACTTTGCATTTCATCCTTCTTAAAAGCTTTCTAGGCTTTGAAACGCACAGAATCTATTTGATCTGCTAATTCACTTTGTGACAGAAAGCAAACAGCACAGCAGTGCCTAGACACAACACGGAAACCTCCTCGCATCTTTTTGAGACAATGGGCAAGTGTGAGGGATCCAAAGAATTAGAAGGAGGAAAAAAAAATTAAGTTTCTAAAATTCCCAATGCCAAAAAATTTCCAGGTCCAGGAAAATGCCGGAAACCAGGGCTCTCTTCTTCCCAAACTAAGACTTGAGGCAATTAGGAAGGGCTCCCTGTCATATGACTCACAGTCACTGGTGTGCAAACACTGGTGTTTTTCTTTCTTTCGTTTTTTTTTTTTTTTCTGGTCAACAAGAGGATCAGGTAAAGAAAAAATATGATCTAGGCTAATCTTATGACTGCCAAAGAAGGAAAAAAAATGGAAATGGCCGAAAGTGGAAAAAAAAATTCTTATGTTTCATTGGCAAAAAAAGGTAAAAAATAATATATCTGCACGGGTCAACACCAAGGAGGAAAAACAAAAACAAAAATCTCTTTAGGAAAAAAAATTGAGAAAAAAAAAACCTTGGCAGCCAAGACGAGTTCGTTCCTATGACAAGGTCCAGCTGTGGAGTTTGGATTCGGTACAAGCACCGAACTTGTGCCAAGGGCTCGGAGCCGGGCTCAGGCCGAGGAGTTCGGGTTTCCCCGTGGGGTGGATGCTCCCGGAGCTCGGACGCGCTGGGGGAGCTCGCCGGGCTGGCTGCACCCGCGCTGTCAACTCCGCCGCGCGCTGCAGAAAGCCCACCGTGGGTGCCTTCCACAGCCCAGGCGGCACCGGGCGTTCAGGAGGATTTCAAGGGTTTGGGGGAAAAAAAAAATTTTTTTTTTTCATCCGAGCAACCACCACCATCCTCCTCCTCCGATCACACACCATCCTGCTTGAGCCTCCTTCGAGCACTCCTTCCTCGGCGCCCTGGACACGGGGGGAAAAAATATAGATATATAGATATATATCCCTATTTACCTGTTGCCAATATTCCTCCAGGGACGGGAGCGCCGAGAAGTAGCCCGTTTCGTGCACAATCTGGAGTTCCTGGAAGATGCTGCACATTGGGAGCACATCCATGTCGGGTTGGAAAAGACAGTCCCCGCTGTCGGGAACACAAGGAGGTGTGCGGTCTGGAGTCGGAGCTGAAACTCTCCCCGCGAGCGCAGGTGAAAGTTTCATGCAAACTCAATGGCACGGCCAGCAGACGCCCGGTCCGGACCCTCCAACAGCCCGCAGCGCACGGAGCCCACACAATATTTGCAAACACCGGACTGACTGCAAACGTAACCCCTGCAAAACTTCCCTATTCAAAGCTCCGCTGCCAGCTCCCCCCCCTCCTCCCCCGCTGGCTCCCCCCACTCCCTCCCCCCACGTGACTCGCCGCGGGCCCGCCCCCTGTCCTGCCCAATCCGCTCGCGTCCGGTCCGAGGGCTGCGTGCCGATGATGTCAGCTCTCCCCAATCGCCAGCAACAACACACAGCGGCCCCGCCTGGCGTGACCGAGCCTCTCCATCACGGCCCTCCTCATTGGGTCAATTCGAACTCTGCGCTCTCTGATTGGAGGACAGCCTCGCAGGCTATTTTTAGCAGGGTATATAAGAGGCGGCCTGCCGCACGCTGAAGGAGTCGGCGCTGGGAGGTGCGCGGCCAAGCGCTGCAGTCGGGCGCCGGTCGGGGACGGGGAAGCCCGGCTGAGGAAGCCGGGTTTGGGGGGAACCGTGCCGGACTGCGCCCGATCGCGCTCCGGAGAGTGCGTCTCCGTCTCTCCGAGCCGGGCCCCAGTTCGGGCAAAGCGGCCGAGCAGGCTGCTCCCTGGCGGCCGCCCGGTTGCCCCTCCGCCGCTTCAGCCGTCTTTGTCTCACACAACCGCCTCGGTTTTCCGCACAGTCCTCGGAGCCGACGCCTTCCCCTGCGTCACCCCGAGTCTAGGCGGCCGGTCGGGGCTCCCCTGTCCCCTCCAGTCACCCCGAGTCTAGGGGGCCGGTCGGGGCTCCGCAGTCCCTTCACGCCCCGGAGTCGCATCTTCCGTCCTGACCCTCCGTTCTCAGCCTTTTCCCCAGCTCCTCCAGGTCGCTTCAACCTCGGGTTAGCTGCTCCATTGACCCGGGGAGGGGGGACGCAAGCCGCAGGGCCCCGACCCCACAAGACGACCGGCGGGGAACCGTGGGAGCGCGGAGGCATCCGGATAGGTCAGGGCTGAGCCCCGGGACCCTGGGTGACAGCAGCCTGGTGCCCGCCCCCAGCCCGGGGTCCCTGCGGGAGTGGAGTGCATCGGATTAGCTCAAGTGCAGGAGTAGCATCGGCTGTACTCAGATTGTGTGGAACACTTCTATCAGAACCGCGGCGTCTAAGGTTTCCCCAAATCACCGACTACGTTCTACTAAGCCACCTGCCCCATCCGTGCCAGCTAAAGTTTGAGAACTAGGGATATAACTTAAAAGTTCCTTTGTTACTTGTCATACAATAGCCCTCATTCTATGAGCATGCAGTGTTTACTTCTAATTGGAAGAAATCTGTTTATTTTGCAGAGGACAATCTCAAAATACCCCTCACCGAGGTTAACGAGTAGGTTTTCCCTTGCATGTGTATACAATTCAAATTAAGACTCACAAATGAGTGTGTGTTTAAATAAATATTATCTCCTAAAATACACCAGTGTGTTCATTTTCAAGAGCAATTCCAAGAATATGATGAATGAACATTTTTAAAGTTCAAAATGGAAAACTGAACCTTAGCTACTAATATAGTCCTCAGTTCACAATCGCGTGATTAATATCCTTTTTAAAATAGTTCAAAGGGGATGGAGTATGTAAAATAATTTTAGAAGGTTTTGTAAATTGACATTCAGAAGATTAGAGTAGCTGAATTACGCGGCTGTGAGAGTCGAGGGAGGGACTTTGAGAGCCAGAAGTTAAAAGTGTTCCTGTCCGTCGTAACCGTTGTGCAGGTTCTGTGAGGAGGACCATGGCCCTTGTTCTATGAGGGAGACAGGACTGACCCTGCAGGGGACCCATCCTTGAGTCTGTGTCCAGGAATGGACGTGCCTTTGCCTTGAACCTTCCACAGCTTGACCAAACACCCCAGCAACCCGCAGCGGGTAATATTTAGGAACTGGTTATCCTGGGGCAGGTTTTTCCTCAAGCTTGTGATGGTGAACCCCTGGATTCTCAAAGGAATTCGCAAGGAAAGCCAGGCTCCAGAGCACTAGGACCAATCCTCGCTGAAGGGGAAAGCTGTTTCCTATGCTGCAAATGGCCTCACTAGAGGCTCCTTGCAGCGCATTTCAAAGTCATGGTGAATATTAGTATTTTGAGTGTTTCTTTATTCCCATCCTTATAGAATGTGAATTTGTCATTTTAACATGCATTGCCTGATACTTAAAAGCTTGTGTATTTTTTACAAGCATAAACCTAATTTTGGATACAATTCAGATAAAATGAAAAATGTAATTTTCAGAAAATCATCAGGTATAAATACAGGGCGCATAAGTAGACTGAATCTCACACAGGAACTTCTGTGGCTACCTGCTATGTCCATTAGCAGCCGGGTATTGATACACAGAAATTTACAAAATAGGCCCAGTCCTTACAGTATTGGGGATCAGGCAAGAGTGGGGGGTCAGGAGAGAGTCCCCAGATGTCTTACCACATGGCCAGCACTGTGGCATAGTGGTTAAATCGCCACGTCTCTGGCAATCCATTTGGACATCTGTTAAGTCCGCAGTGCTTCTCGAACTCTCCAGGCCACCCCTTAGGCACTTAGGAAGGCAACAGATAATCACAGAGCTTGGGGGGATGGGGGATGGAGGATGGGGGAGGGGCGGGGGAGCACCTGTCACTCCCGGGAAGACCCTGATGGAGTTCCAGCCTTCCGGGCTCAGGCTGGCCCAGCTCCCACTATCGGGGCCATTTAAGTGTGCCAGAGAATGGAAGCTATCTTTCTCTCAGTCTAACTCTTTGTTACTCTTCATTTCAAACAAATAAATCTGGAAAACAGTAAAACTACTACCATTACTAAATAGTAGTATTTAACTGGTAAAAAAAAAATGTTTCTGGCTTTATTAAGGAAAAAAGAATATTCGTAGGTTCCAAGTTTTTTTTTTTTTTTTTTTAAGAGTCACAGAAGGCCAGATTCAATCAAGGGAGGTTACCCATGATACTTGTGATATGGGAAATTAAAATGTCTGTTGAAGTTTAGTTTGGTAAAATTAGATGAGACACTGCATTAATATTCTCCCATTGATGGTGAATAGTATTCAATAAATTCAAGGCAATATTCTCTGCTTCAACATTTCTCTGTTTTTAACTTTGGTCTTCATATTTGTTTTGTAAAACTCTCCTGCCTTTTTTGCAGAAGCGAGGATTACACACAGTAAAATGGAATTAACTTTGCAAGTCACAAAGCACAGCCGAGACGGTGTGGGACAGAGTTGTTTCAGAACCTGATGAGGATTCCCCTATGCAGAAGATGCTGGTTTTCGCACTTCCACCTTGACCAAGTGCAGAAAGAAAATCCAGCTGGTGTGTAGGACCCTCATTTCCTGCTTGCCTCTACCTGCCATGCTCTCTGCCCACCGCCCCGTGCTAGCATCTCAGCCATCTTGTGCAAGGACCCAGTCTCTTTTCTATGTCCCTGGAAGACAGTTACCTTACCCCTTAGCACCTTATTTTCTCAGGTCCTTACCTCCTTTACGTCTAAGGCCCCCCTCCACTTTTTGTCCATGCTGTTTCATGGCTTCCAGGCTATACGGATTTACTTCTTATCACAGAACCTTCCTCTGTGCACATGCCAGAAACAAACCTTTTTTTAAGAAAAACTATCGTTTAAAGATAAAGTTTGTAATTTAAAACTAAGTTTGGCTAATTCATGCATGATGTGTTTGTTCTGAGCAGTCTGGGTTTTTCTGTTCATCTAGATGACTTTGGAGGGCCTCTGAAGAGAAGTCCTACAAATCTCGCTCTCAGGCTAATCCCACCCACTCTTACTACATTAATAATACTGAGAGAAAATGCTGTGCCTGTTGGGCAAGGGACCAATTTGTTTTGTTGTGCTTTGTTTGGGTGCATTATCAATATATTGCCTCTCCTAAAGAAAGCCTATTCATCTGTCATCTGTTTCTTTGGGCTATTTTGTAAATATAATTGTTAGGATACTTTGGAATTGTTACACGACAGGTACTAATAGGTGTAAATTTTTTGTATTACCTTGTTTGCAGATAGTTTAAACACCACAAGCCATCTTTTTATCATTTAATTTTTCTATGAAGTCTTGCACAAGGAAAGCCAGTTTCTACACAATGTATGAGGTATAGATTTATCATCTGACATGTTTTCTCTGCAGATAATAGATAATAAGAGTACCTTATTAATGATTTTCGGTACATGTTCAGATTTGTGTAGCAGTGTGTAAAATATGCCAAGTAAAATGATTGTAAAGTTTCTGGGACTTTGGTGGGAGAGGATTTATACATACAGCGAAAAGGTATTCTCGAATAGTTTTATTTTAAAATATCACAGTGAGATGGGGCGGCTATGCCACTCACCTTTCAACAGAGGCTCCTGAAGAAGCTTGTCGTGAACATATGCTCACATGCATTGTACAGCTTAGCTATGGATCCGATAACCACATGTGCTAATTGATGGTGAGCATGCCCTGAAGAGCGATCTGCATATTCCACACATTTGATTAGAAGCTCAATGGGCTTTTTAAAAAAAATTAATGATCTTGATGTATAATGGTGTAAAATATATAGAATACAATCTGGAAAGTAGGCTTTATGTGCTTCAAAACGTAATATAAAGTAATGCTAACAATGGCTGGGTGATATTGTTGTATATCTATACAATCGCTATAAAAGAATGGAGTTTAGAAATGTACTCAAAGGAGTTTTTTTTTTTTAATTTTCAAAAAGCTGCAATAGAAAAATCCTAGCGTAACTTACTGAGCTCTTGAGTTTGTGGTTTATATTTTTTCAAATAGGTCCTCTGTCCCAATCTTTTTCTCTTCTCCTGAGCTCCAATTATTCATACTTTAGCTTGTATTTTCCCACAGACCTCAGCTGCTCAATTTTATTTATCTTTGTTTCTCCTTTTGCAGTATGCATTTCGTGTTGATTGTTTCTACGGAGCTGTCTTCATGTTCCCAGAGTTTAGCACATTGCTCTCATCTCAGCTTTGTGGTGATAATGTCTTCTTCTGTCATTGTGCAATCTCCTCACTCCTCTCTGAGAAAAAAAAAAATAGTTGTCATTGGATTCACCTGAAAAATGTAGAATGAACTCTTTTAAAAATCTTTAACTCAGCAATCATTTCAAAGCTCTTTTCCC